CTGCTGATGATGATAATGCTGACGCTGATGATGCTGATGCTGCTGATAATGATGATGATGTGATGTTATGGTGATGAGGAGGATGAGGATAACGATGATGATGGTGATGATGCTGATGCTGATGCTGATCATGATGAGGATGAGGAGGAGGCGGAGGAGGAGGAGAAGCAGGTGGAGGAGGATATGGAGGAGTAGGAGGGGAAAGAATGGGAGGAGGAGGATTATTATGATGATTGTGGTGGCGGTGGTGGTTCTGGTGATGCGGATAAGTATGAGTATGAGGATTGGGATGATGCTGATGATGCTGCTGATGATGATGAAGATGGTGATGAGGATGATAGTGATGATGATGATGATGATGATGATGATGATGATGATGATGATGATGATGATGATGATGATGATGATGACGATGATGATGATGATGATGATGATGATGATGATGATGATGATGATGATGATGATGACGATGATGATGGTGATGTGATGATGATGATGATGATGATGATGATGATGATGATGATGATGATGATGAGGATCTGTGGATGAGGATGATGATGAGAAGAAGAGGAGAAGGAGGAGGAAGAAGGGGAGGAGGACGACGATTATGATGATGGTGGTGGTGGCGGTGGTGGGTGTGGTGATGATGAGGAGGAGGCGGAGGAGGAGGAGGAGGAGGAGGAGGAGGAGGAGGAGGAGGAGGAGGAGGGGGAGGAGAAGGAAGAGAAGGGGAGGGGGAGAATGATGATGATGATGATGATTGGTGGCGGGGTCAAGTTTTCCCTGGTGGGGGTGGCGATGGCATTTCTGACCCAGGCGCGAGGGCGGTCCTTCGCCAGAGGGGCTCCTGGTGCGGGCCCACCGGGGCCCCCCGACCGCTGAACGTGGTGCGACAGCAGCGGCTTGATGTGCGCTTGGGTCTGGCCCCCCCGCTCCCCCCAAAGCACAGCGCACCAGAGGCCCTTCTGCCCAGGGCCACCTCCCCCCCAGTCGCGCGGTGTCTCGATTGGTACCAACTATTATGTGGTATCGGGTCCTCGTTTTGAAGAGACGGCGGCTCCCATCCCGCCTCCCCACTCCTCCCATCCCTGCCTCTGCTCTCCGCATGTCCATTTCGGCACACCCTTTACGAGGATCGTGGCCTCATAGGGAGCTCCACCGAAGGCCCCAGTGGCAGGGTCCGCATGCGCCCCCCCGCCCACTTAGGCACACCCCGCAAGGATCGTGGCCCCATCGGGAGCTGCATCGAAGGCTCCAGTGGCAGGATCCGCGTGCGCCCCCCCTCCCATTCTGGCACACCTCTCAGGAGGATCGTATTCCCATAAAAAGCTCAGCCGACGACCCCAGTGGTAGGGTTCGCATGCGTTCCCCAACCAATTTCGGCACACCCCTCGCAAGGATTGTGGCCCCATAGGGAGCTCCACCGAAGGCCTTAGTGGCAAGATTCGCATGCGCCCCCCGCCCATCTCGGCACACCCCTCACGAGGATCGTGGCCCCAGAGGAGCTCCACCGGATGCCCCAGCTGCAGGTTCCGCATGCGTGCCCCCGCCCATTTCGGCACACCCCTGCAAGGATCGGGGCATCAAGGGGAGCTCCACCAGAGGCCTCAGAGGCGTGGTCCGCATGCGTCCCCCCGCCCATTCCGGCGCACCCCTCACGAGGATCGTGCCCCCATGGGGAGCTCCACCGAAGGCCACAGTGGTAGGGTCCGCATGTGTCCCCAGACCAATTTCGGTACGCCTCTCCCAAGAATCGTGGCCCCACAGGGAGTTCCTCCGAAGGCCCCAGTGGCAGGGTTGGCACGGCGCCGCCTTCGCCAGGACATGCGCTCCAGTCCGTCCTTCTGTTCGTCCCCATCCTTCTTCTCGTTTGGCTCACGCCACTCACAACTGCATCTGATTGGGCCCTTTGCCAGGATACTTTCAAGACGCGATCCCCGAAGGCCCGACCCTTTCCCCCAGGCCAGCTTTTCATCCTGGGCCTTCTCGTGACGGTCCCAGGGCCCGGCGAGGGCCCCAGAGGCCGAAATCGGCCAAACACTTCGTGCAGTTTTTTCCCCAATCAGAGCTTGGGTCGCCGATTTCGGTGGCCGGCCCAGGTGCCCGGGTGCCCGGGTGCCCAGGTGCCCGGGGCTGCCCGGAGGTACCCGGAGGTGCCCGGAGGTGCCCGGGGATGCCCGGAGGTGCCCGGTGGCCCTACATTAGCCTTATAGCCTTATAGCCCTATAGCTTTATAGCCCTATAGCCCTATAGCTAGCCCTATAGCCCTATAGGCCCTATAGCCCTATAGCCCTATAGCCCTATAGACCTATAGCCCTATAGCCCTATAGCCCTATAGCCCTATAGCCTTAGCCTTACAGCCCAAAAGCCCTACAGCCCTATAGCCCTACAGCCCTATAACCCTATAGCCCTATAGTCTTAGCCTTATAGCCCAATAGCCCTACAGTCCTATAGCCCTATAGCCCTATAACCCCATAGCCTTATAGCCCAATAGCCATATAGCCCCATAGCCTTATAGCCCTGTAGCCCTATAGCCCCATAGCCTTATAGCCCTATAGCCCTGTAGCCCCTTAGCCCTATAGCCCTGTAGCCCCATAGCCCCATAGCCCTACAGCCCTAAACAAATTCTGATTGGGTTTTTTCTCCGGTATCATTTTTTTTTCCGACGCGAGGGGGTCTGGGGACGGGAAGCTGCGGGGGCGAGGGCTGGCACCGGGCCCCTGGGCGAGGTCTGGCGTGCTGGCCGCCGGCGTGCGCCAGCTCTGGCCGGAGGCGCGGCTGGTCCTCCTGGACGCGGACGCCGTGGCCCTCGAGGCGGCCAGGCGTAACGCGCGCGGCTCGGCGGGGCCGGCCCGGCCGGCAGGCCCAGTGGGCTTCGCGGCCCCAGATTCCGGGCGTGTTTTTTCCATCCCGTGGTGTCGGTCCTCATTTTGAGTGCGCAGCGCCGCGCGTCCGCAGCTTCTCCTCCTCCCGCTCCCTCCCTCCTCCTCCTCTCACTGCCGCTGCCCTGAGCATGTCTCTGCTTCGGCACACTCCTCACACACTTCGTGGCCCCATGGGAGCCCCGCGAAGGAGCTCCACGGAGGGCACAAATTGCAGGGCTTCGCTCGCTAGAGCGGGCGTAGAGGTCACTGTTCTGTCTGACGTGCACAGGGATTGTAACAACGTGGTGGACCTTGCTAATGTTCCCAAGGAGCTCCAGCTGTCTCACAAGCGGCCCTACGCTGGACTAGTGATGAACAATCGTCTTGGTGCAGACTCGACCGGATCGGTGGTCAATGTAAGGCACACCTGAACCCTGCTGAGCAGGGCATCTCATCTCTGGGGTGCTGGAGGCGTTTAGGGAATGAGGCGGCGGATCGTGCTGCACACGTCGGGGCAACCCTGCACCCCAGTGGTTCAGAGGATCAGCTGCAGAGACTCACCTTCACGATTCGAGTGGTCAAAGCTGTGTGTAAACTCGCGGGCCATATCCTCTGCCAGTGTCGCAGTTTGGACTTAACAGGGTGCCCTTGGATGGCCCTTGACATACCTCCTGCGGTGTCATCCTTTAAAGTGGAGTCTGCCATCTTTCAAAGCAGGCACTGCTTTGATTTGGCTGGCGGCAAGCACATTTTCGGCCTTTGCCACCGTATTGTTAAACTCTGTGATGTTGCTTCCTCGTGTGGTTCGTTGTGTAGCAAACGAGACGTCCTCCCGTCGGTGGCCGTGCCAGAGGACGATCTCGTAAGGATTTGGGCGGTGGAGGGGGTGACGCGGGTGGGGGGAAGATCTTGCATGCGTCACAGTCGCTCTTGCTCTGGCCTAATTTGCCGTGTATTTCTGCAGCAGCTGTGGCCGAACGACCACGGTTGACCATCGCCATCTTCTCGGTGAGTGCCAGCTGGTTACCTGCGAGGGCTGAGAGAATCTACGCCGCATTCCGGACGTCGTTTTTCCTGGCCTCAGTAGGCCGCCTGTTGCCGCTACAGGGCCCTAATCAATCATTTAGGGTGCGATGCCAGCACGTACTCACCCACAGTCGGCCCCCATTCCTCTTACAGTAGGACTCGGGAGGCCTGTTTGTCTCAGCTCGTCAGGAGTTGCTCCCTGACGTTTGCCACATGTGCAGCGTGGGCAGAGGTTCGAGGGCCTCCTCATCGGCGCCTAACCGTAGTGGCCTCATCTCGGGGTCCCGTTGACTTCACAGATTCACGATGTCGATGGCGGCGGAGACGGCGACGGCTGCGACGCCGTCGTCGTCTTCGGGAGAGGCGGGATGATGATGATGATGGTGATGATGATGATGATGATGATGATGATGATGAGGATGATGCTGATGATGATGATGAGGATGAGGATGAGGATGAGGATGAGGATGACGATGAGGATGATGCTGAGGATGAGGATGAGGGTGATGATGAGGATGAGGGTGAGGATGATACTGATGATGACGACGATGATGATGATGATGATGAGGATGAGGATGAGGATGATGATGATGAAGATGATGATGCTGCTGATGCTGCTGCCGATGATGATGATGATGATGATGATGGTGATGATGATGGTGATGATGATGATGGTGATGATGGTGATGATGCTGATGCTGATGCTGATGATGACGATGATGATGATGGTGATGATGGTATTGATGATGATGCTGATGCTGATGATGATGACGACGACGACGATGATGATGATGATGATGATGATGATGATGATGATGATGATGATGATGATGATGATGATGATGATGATGATGATGATGATGATGATGATGATGATGATGATGATGATGATGATGATGATGATGATGAGGATGATGATGATGATGATGATGATGATGATGATGATGATGATGATGATGATGATGATGATGGATGATGATGATGATGAGGATGATGATGATGATGATGATGATGATGATGATGATGATGATGATGAGGATGAGGATGATGATGATGATGATGATGATGATGATGATGATGATGATGATGATGATGATGATGATGATGATGATGATGATGATGATGATGATGATGATGATGATGATGGATGGGGAGGAGGAGGAGGAGGAGGAGGAGGAGGAGGAGGAGGAGGAGGAGGAGGAGGAGGAAACGGTGGCGACAGCGATGGCGACGGCGACGGCGTCGATTGATGACTGACGTGTGACGGTTGACGACGGACGCCGACGGCGAAGCCCAGGTCCCTGGCGCCGAGGAGGTGGTCCTGGCCGACGGCCTTGGCGGGCTTGGGGCCGCGGAGGTTCCTAGCACACTTCGCCGACTTTGGTCGTCGACGTCGCCGTCGTCAGTCGCCAGTCGCCAGTCGTCAGTCGCCATCGGAGTCGTCGTCGTCGTCGTCGTCGTCGTCGTCGTCGTCGTCGTCGTCGTCTGGATCGTCGTCGTCGTCGTCGTCGTCCGTCGTCGTCTGGAACGTCGTTGTCGTCGTCGTCGTCGTTGTCGTCGTCGGCCGTCGTCAACCAGGGTTCGGGGTCTAGGCTTCTGCGTGTTCCTGGGGCGTCCTGGGCCTCCCGGGGCGCCCTCGTCGCCACGGGTGGGACCGCCGTGACACGGCGGCCAGAACGCGCCCCAGGACGCGTCCTGGGATCGCCTTCGCCGTTGCCGCCGTCGTCGTTGCCGTCGCCGTCGCCGTCGCCGTCGTCGCTGTCTCGCCCTCCCCCCACTGCGGGTCCTCCTTCCGTTACCCCCGTCTCCCTTTTCTTCTCCCGCCACGCCTTTCATGCCACTTCCGTTGTCCTCGTCCTCGTCCTCGTCTTCGCCGTCGTCGTCGCCGTCGTCGTCGTTGTTGTCGTCGCCGTCCGCTTGCTCCTCCTTCCCCTCCCCAGTCCCTCTTCGTCGTCCCCTCTTGCTGCTCCAGCCTTCTCCTACCCTGCATTCCTCCGCTCCTTCGCCCTGCCTTCTCTTCCTCGTGCTCTGCGCCGCCGTCACCGTCGTCGTCGGCATCGTCGTCGTCCTCCTCCACCTTTTTCTTAAGTGCTCATTCTAGACAAGTCCTCCCTGTCGCACCACCAGGCGTGCCGTTAGGCCGGGCGTTTCGTCGGAAATGGCATCATCAGATAGGGTCTCGACATTTGAAGTTTCCAACAGCTACACGGATACAGCACAGCTGGTTTTCACAATGGGGCTCTCGCATTGGCGCCGCGCGAAACATTTCCAGCAGTTGCACGGCTGGAACACAGGTGGTTATGAAAATGGTGTTTCGGACTAGCCGCCGTGTTCCTTTGTCTTGAAGCAATCCAACACTTACACTGATGGAGGGTGGTTCCTTTTCAAAGCAGGGCTCCCGCTTGAGACGTCCTCAAACTTTACAGTCGACGTTCAACTTTCTACACCAGTTATGCATGTGGAGGGCGGCTGCATTTTGAAATGGGTATCTCGCTGTAAACTTCGGGCACTTTGATGGCACGGGCTTTGGAACGCTTGCACGGATGGATGGATGGAGAGTTCCCGCTGGACATTTCTCTGCACTGCGTAGCCCTGCCCCTCTGCATTTCCTATAGCTGGAAGGCTGGCAGGTGGACTGCTCACCACACCGGGGATTGCCTCAGTGGCAGGCCCACGGGGCGTTCGTCTGTCAGGGAATGGCGCTCTCCCGCAGCGGAACGACTGCTCGTCGTGACGTGTGGGGGGGAGGAGGAGGGCATTTTGGACGGGAGGGTTTGTTGCGGCCTCATTGACGCCTCTTGGGTCTCCTCTGGTCCTCTTCCTCCGTCCTCCCTCCTCATTTTTCCGTCCTCCCTCCTCGCTCCCCCCCAGCCGAACCCCTGAAGTCGGGAGGATGTGGGGCGAGAGGATGGGAACGGTGGAGGAGGAGGCCAGAGGATGAGAGGGGGGAAGGGAGGACGGGGGAGGACGAGGAGGAAGCAGGAAGTTGCTCATGCTTGCGATGAGGGTAACTACAAGAGAATGGGGGGGAGGAGGTGGAGGAGGACAGGCGTAATGCCAGAGTACATCACCGATGCTGCAATCCAACCTTGCGTCCCAAGCCCTCCCTTTGGAAGTAAAAAACACTTATTCTTTTCCACTGCGGGAGTCGCGCTCCTTGATTGATGAGCGCCTATTTGGCTAGCCATTCAGGCGAGACCTTAGTTTGTGAATGATCCAGCTGGCATCCTTTTGCACTAAGACCTGCGAAGAGGTAGTTCATCAAGTGCAAAGAAACTTTCAGTGATAGTGCAGTTTGAACAGCATCTGCCCTCTATCTGTGAAAGTGTTGTGCAATTTCAAAGTTCTGGTATTGAAGCTCAAGGCAGTATGGAGCGGACGCATTTTGAAAAGTCGCCGCCCTCCATCCGCGAAACTGTTCCACAGTTGGTGATTTCGGGTCATAGAACTCGAGGGCGTTTCAAGCGCGAGCCACATTTGGCGCTAAGGCGAGAGCCGCATTTTGTACACGACCTGCCCTAAATCTTTGCAGCAGTTGGATTCTAGTTTCATGATGATACGCTGCCAGGAAGTCTCAAGCGAAACTCTTGGCCCAGCCGGACACGTCTGGTGATGCGACGGGGGAGCAGTAGCTTACAGGCGGGAAAGGTTAGATAGCGCGTCGTTCCGCCAGTTCTGGCCTGCCACACTTCGGTGCGACACGCCATCTTTTTTCCAGACCCCAGTCTTCAATGTCCCGAGCCTTTCCGAGTCCCCCGCCCGGCGTAGCAGAGCGACACGCTATCCGCTCGCAGGGCATATCGTGTCTCTGGGGCCTCCGCAGCGAAAAAGTTCTTGACCGTTTAAGGTAAAGGAATGGAGGAGGAGGAGAGGTGGAGGAGGAGGAGGAGGAGTAGGAGGAGGAGGAGGAAAAGGATGAGGAGGAGGAGAGCAGGAGGAAGAGGAGTAGGAGAAGCAGGAGGAGCAGGACGAGGAGGAGGAGGAGGATCCTTCCCCCTTCCCCGTCCACTTCCCCCCCCTCGCTCTCCTTCTGGCCTGCGTGGTCCTCCCCAGGCCGCAGCTGAGCCCTTCGACCTCATCGTGTCGAACCCACCCGTGCACAGGAGCTTGCCTACCCTCCTGGGGGTAGGAGAGGGGAGAAGGAGGAGGAGGATTAACGGAGTAGCAGGAGTAGTCACATTGAGAGTAGCAGTGTTCACAATATTGATGACGACGCCGTCGCCGCCGCCAACGCCGCCGCCGATACTGCTGCTGCTGCTGATGATGACGACGATGACGACGAAGCTGCTGCTGCTGCTGATGACGACGACGACGACGACTATGATGATGATGATGATGATGATGATGATGATGATGATGATGATGATGATGATGCTGATGATGATGATGATGATGATGATGATATTGAAGACGATGATGGTGATGGTGTGATGGTGATGATGATGATGCTGCTGAAGATGATGATGAAGACGATGATGATGATGCAGATGATGATACTACTGATGCTGATGATGATGACAGTTATGATGGGGATGCTATTGCTGCTGATGATGATGAGGATGCTGACGATGATGATGATGATGATGATGATGATGATGATGATGATGATGATGATGGTGATGAGTATGATGATGACGACGATGATCATGATGATGGTGATGGTGATGATGATGCTGATGATGATGCTGCTGATGTTGATGACGCTGTTGCTGATGATGATGATGATGATGATGATGCTGATGCTAATGCTGATGCTGCTGATGATGATGATGACGATTCTGTTGCTGATGCTGCTGCTGCTGTTGCCGCTGCTGCCGCTGCCGCTGCCGCTGCTATTGCCGCTGCTGCTGATGATGATTGTGGTGGTGGTGGTGATGATGATGATGCTGCTGATGATGACGATGATGATGATGATGATGATGATGATGATGATGATTATGATCGTAATGATGAGAATGATGATGATGATAATGATGATGATGATGATGATGATGTTGATGATGGTGACGATTGCGATGATGATGATGATGATGATGATGATGATGTTGATGATGATGACGACGATCATGGTGATGATGATGATGATGATGATGATGATGATGATGATGATGATGATGACGATGGTGGTGGTCATAATGATGATGATGATGCTGCTGATGATGACGCTGCTGCTGATGATGATGCTGCTGATGCTAATGCTGATGCTGATGATGATGATGATGATGATGATGATGAGGATCATGATAATGATAATAGTGATGACGATGATGTTGCTGATGCTGCCACTGTTGCCGCTGTTGCCGCTGCCGCTGCTGGTGCCGCTGCCGCTGCTGCTGCTGATGGTGGTGGTGTTGATGATGATGATGATGATGCTGCTGATGCTGCTGCCGATGATGATGATGATGATGATGATGATGATGATGATGATGCTGATGCTGATGCTGATGATGATGATGATGATGATGATGATGATGGTAATGATGATGATGATGATGATGATGATGATGATGATGATGATGATGATGATGTTGTTGTTGAACATGACTATGATGATGATGATGATGATGATGATGATGATGATGATGATGATGATGATGATGATGTTGATGATGATGATGGTGATTCTGATGATGATGCTGCTGATGCTGATGACGGTGACGACGACGACGGTGGTGATGATGATGCTGATGCTGGTGACGATGACTGATGATGCTGATGCTGATGATGATGATGATGACGAGGATGATGATGATGATGATGATGATGATGATGAGGATGATGATGATGATGATGATGATGATGCTGATGCTGATGCTGATGCTGATGCTGATGCTGATGCTGATGCTGATGACGATGACGACGACGATGATAATGATGATGATGACGATGGTGATGGTGATGGTGATGGTGATGATGATGAAGAAGATGATGATGATGATGATGATGATGATGATGATGTGATGATGATGATGATGATGATGATGATGATGATGCTGATGCTGATGCTGATGCTGATGCTGATGCTGATGATGATGATGATGATGATGATGATGATGATGCTGATGCTGATGCTGATGCTGATGCTGATGCTGATGCTGATGCTGATGCTGATGCTGATGCTGATGGCGACGACGCTGCTGCTGATGATGATGATGCTGATGCTGATGCTGTTGCCGCTGCTGCTGATGATGATGACGATTATGATGATGATCCCGCTCTGGTACCGCAGCCCGCTCGGCTCGGCCCACGCCGCAGGCTGCAGGGAGGCTCATGCCGGCCTCGGCGGCTTCAGGGCGTGAAGCCCCAGCGGCCTCCGCAGCGGCTGGCGTCGCGCGGCCAGGGCCCCGTGAGCAATCGCGGCCGTGGCGAGAGCGCCGAGGCGGTGGCGGACAGGACTGCGTGCAGCCAGAGAAGACCGGCACCTTCAGCCATTGAGAGCGGCGGCGAGCTGCTGCTCTATTTCGGGCCCGACGAGCACACCAGCGCCTTCATGAACCTTGGCGTCACTCTGGTGCGGAAGAGGGAGCACCCGTTCTGGAAGTCGCTCTTCTGCAACAGGCGCGTCAGGAACGTTGGCGCGCCGCAGGAGAAGTACGCCATGGCCACGTTCGTCGCCGAGCTGCTCCGGAGGCTGGACGAGGACGAGGAGAGCATCACCAAGGCACTGCGGCGCCTGGCGGTGGGCAGGGTGTCCGCGATTTTCCACAGCGCCTGCTGGACAAGGGCGGCTTTCTCGTGACGATCGAACAGGTCGAAGAAGAAACAACTCCGCAAACAGGGAGTTTCGGAGCTCCGCACGGATATCTTAGATCGGCGCTGGCCCCCCCGGTGGCGCTGCCAGCGCCGATCGGAGAAATCTGCGCGGAGCTTCGAACGTTCATGTTTGTGCAGTTTTTTGGTCCTCTCTGGGCGGGCCGCGGCTGGCTTGGGTGGGCCGCGGTTACTGGCGCGCCTGAGGGTTGCTCGCCAGGTCTGCGTGTAACAGCCTCGCTGGAGCGCTCCTCGAGTGCTCCGGTAGAACAGGGGAGGGCGGGCGCGGCCGTTCAAGGAGAGTAGAGGAACAACAAACGACATACACATACATTTCGACGGTCCGTGCGGATTTCTTGCATCGGCGCTGGGCCCCGTCGGCGGCGCCTGCAGCGCCGCCACCGGAGATCTCCGCACGCAGGGATGGGGGGGTCGGCGCAGATCCGAGAAATCCAGGTGGACCGTCGACGGTTTATGTTTCTGTTTTTCTTCCGCTAGAGAGGGGGGTTCACACCATCGTCGGAGTAGCGTCGGCGAGAGGGGGATGGTGAGGAGGACGAGGAGGGGTATGAGGATGAGGAGGATGAGGCAGGAGAAGTCGCAGCAGCAGCGCGATCGGTGAATCATCGTAGCCAGTGGCTTCAGCAGTGCCCCCACGACTCTGCCCAGATGGCTCCACTTCGAAAGCCGAAGAACTCTTCTATGAGCTACTCTTTGCCGAGAGCTCCCTTGGGATTTAGTCATCTCGCCCTGGTATGAGCTAATGCCAGCGTAGTAATATGAAGCCTACGTAGAGAGGAGGACGAGAAGGATAACGAGAACGAGGAGGATGCAGAACGAGGATGGGAGGGGACTGGAGGAGGAGGAGGAGGAGGAGGAGGAGGAGGAGGAGGAGGAGGAAGAGAGGAGGAGGAGGAGGAGGAGGAGGAGGCGGAGGAGGAGGAGAAGGAGGAGGAGGCGGAGGAGGAGGACGAGAGGGAGGACAACGAGGGGTAGGAACTGCACGAGGAGGTCGGGACTGATTCGTGCTGACAGTGGGCCTCTGGGCAGCGCGAGAGTACCCTCGCGAGTCTGGTCGCTGGTCGGGCCCTTCGCGAGTGCAGTCGTCGTCGTCGTCGTCGTCGTCGTCGTCGTCGTCGTCGTCGTCGTCGTCGTCGTCGTCGTCGTCGTCGTCGTCGTCGTCATCGTCGTCATCGTCGTCGTCGTCGTCTTCGTCCTCGCCGTCGCCGTCGCCGTCGCCGTCGCCGTCGCCGTCGCCGTCGCCGTCGCCGCCGCCGCCGCCGCCGCCGTTCTTCGCCGTCGCCGTCGCCGTTTCCGTTGCCGTCGCCGTCGTCGTTGTCGTAGTCGTCCTCGTCCCCGTCCTCGTCCCCTGCGCTCTTTCGCTCCTGCCCTCTGCCCTCCGCTTCTCCTCCCTCCGCTCTGCCAGGGGGCACGCCGACGACCTCTCGGTCCTGATGCGCCTCATCAGCGAGGCCGCGCCACCCCGCGCCGCCCCCGTGCACGCCCGCTCGCGCCTCGGAGCCGCCGCCCTCGCAGACCCAGACGTGCTCGCGTCGCGCAAGCAGCATGACGGGAGGCCTGGAGCCACCTTGTCGGCCACCGGAGGCCGGGCCCTCGCCGGGCCCAGGAGGACAAGCCAGCCCTGGGGCAGGGTTCGGGGCCTCTGGGGACCGCGTGCGAGCAAGAAGCAGAACGTCGCGTGTGCGTGGAGCGGGGGCGCGCCGGGGGCGCGAGGGCGCCCCTTGCCAGCTGCACAGCAGAGATCAGAGTGGCCCTGCGCCGGAGTGACCTCCTGGTGCGGGCCCACCGGGCTCGCCCGATCGCTGAACGCGATGCCGCGGCAGCTCGGCTGCGCGCGGAGGGTCCCCTGGCGCGCGGCTTCTCGGGGGGCGCTGCGGAGCCAGGCCCGAGCACGCAGGCCGCCACCGCCGCACCGCATGCGGCGGCCCGGGAAGCCGCGCACCCAGAGGTTACTTTTGCCCACTGGTCGCTCTCGCCCACGTGCAGCCGAGCAGCGGCTTGCTCGCTTGGATCCATCGCAGCGCCCCGGAAAAGGACTCGCGACCCTCTTCCTCTCCTACCTCTACCTACGGGAAATGTTGTAGGTTCGACTCTTCGGTCGCTAACCTACACACACACAGGTCTGGCCCCCCCCCCTGGCCCGGCTGAAGCCGCGACAGGAGGGGTCGCTCTTGCCCGGGGTCAAACCTTGCGTGCAGCCGATTGGCCGACCAGGAGGGCTCCCCGAGCCACGGCAGGCTCGTGCCGCCTCGGCGCGGCGGCGACGCTGGCGCGGGCGTTCCTGGTCGGAAGCTGTCCTGTCCCCCGCCCCTACGGTCGGGAACTTTTGATTCGCGTGTCGCGCCGCCGGTTCTGGCCCACCACGCTGCGGCGCGACGCGCTATCCGCGTCCCGGTCTCCAAGCGTCAACGTCCCGAGCCTTTCCGAGCCTCCCGCCCCGCGGAGCGGAGCGACACATTATCCGCTCGCACGGCATAGCGTGTCGCTGGGGCCGCCGTCGCGACACGCGAAGCAAGAGTTCCCGACAGTAGTTCTTTCAGGAGCGCTCCCCGCCGCCATGGCTGGACGCAGCTCGGGAAGCTGGCCAGGATGGAACCTGGGAGGTGTCCATGTACAGAGTCTGAACGCATTTTCGTCGTGCCGCCCTGACGCGTCGGCAGATGGTGGTACGGGCGATCATGTTTTCGGCGGGATACACCTGGATCGATTCTGGCCAGTCCGATCCTGGGCCCAGGAGCGGTGTATATGCCTGGCTGTCCAAGCCAGGAGGGCGTCCATACCGATCCTGGGCTCAGGACGATCCTCCTGGCTAGGATCGGCGCGTGTATGCTGGCGTCCTCCTAGGTTGAGCGCCCGCTGGGGGCCCGCTTCGGGCCCTGGGGCTCGGAGAAGGCAGCCCCCACTCGGCGGCGAGCCCAGAGGGGGAAGGGAGCGGGGGGCAGGCCTGCTCAGAGGACGGACGCCGTCTCCGTCGCCGGCGAAGGCTTAGGACATTTCTCAGAAGGCCCGCGGCCCTCCGAGCCTTCTGAGGAGGCCCGCCCCCTCTGCCTCACCCCCCGGGGCTCGCCGCCGACCCACGGGGCGCAAGATCCACACGAAGGAGGGGGCCGGCAGCCTTTGGGGCCACTTCCAGGGGCGGGGGTCGCTCAAGATCCGACGTCTTTCCGTGCGGCGTCAGCGATCGGGGACCTCGTCGTCGAGACACGAAGCTGCCGCACCCCTGTGCGCGAACGCTGCTGGACACGTCTTAATGTGTGAGCGTTCAATCTGCGATGGGGGCGTTGGTTAAGGAATGTGCGCAGGAGGCTTCAGACCCTGGAGGGTTCCGTCTCAGATGAGGGCGGCGGTGATATTTATGGCAAGGTCTCAATTGGTGATCCACTGGCTTTCAGACCTGGATTCCTTATCCGAGGGATCCACTGCCCTCACCGTAACGATGAAGCCTCAGGCGAGAACCCTCTTTTGAAAACGAAGCGCCGTCCAACCGTGAAGCAGCCGCACAGTTTCACGTTTGTTGCGACCTGTATCCGAGGACGCCTTTGGGCCCCACCTCGCGAGCGTACCGGTCCCCACCCGTGGAGCCGTGCGATCCTTGGGTGCGCCGGTTGCCAGAGGCCGAGCTGAGCTGGGCGACGGCAGCAGACGTCGCACCGGGGATGTCGTGGTCGGCGCCCTGGGCAGCGCGCCGGCTTCGGCCAGGCCTGGGGTCCCCCAGGGGCTCCATGCCCTCGTGCTCCCCATCCTCGGTTCGGAGTGCGTCGAGCTCCTGCTAGGGTCAGGTTCACGGCGTCTCAACTGAGCTCGCGAGCGGACCAGCCGCGTCCGAGCATGAGCGCAGCTGGGTCACCTCGACCCGAGGCCTTCGACTGCGAACGCCCTGGCTTTATACCGTCTGCCAGGCTTTGCTGCCGTGTCGCGCGCCTGGCTTCCGTGCCGCCTGGTACCCACCTTTCGTAGTGTGGCAGATCGGGGACCACGGCCGGCTGGATCGGGCACGGCGGGTGGTGCGAGACGGGCGCCAATGTTCCAGCTGATTGAAGGCCAGGAGCGGGGGCAGAGAGGGCAGGGGGCATCGCACTCCTCGGGCTTGGGAGGAGCTACCTGAATCCCTCTACGGGGAGCCTGCGCAGGTTCGTCGCACAGGATCCGCCCGAGTGGCTGGGACAGAACGGGGGCCTCGAGGAAGCTCAGGGGTGTGGTGGACTTTGTATGCAGATCCAGCTTACCACTCCCGCGTGGACGTTCTCTCCGCGCGATCGACCCGTGTCGGCGACAGAATGTCTGCAGGCGGGGCGTGGTCGAAATGAGGCCATCTCGCCAAAGTTTACTCTGCTGACCAGAACATGCACCAGTGGCAAGCCATTCCATTGAGCGAGCGAACGAAACCCTGGTTCTGAACCCTGGGGCATTTTGTACGGCGTCCCATGGGATATGTAACTTTGGAGAGCATGTGATGAACAGGAAGGCATCAGTTCAGCCGTGCAGCCTGGGCGGAGGGGCTGCTTCATTGCAGTCCTTGCATGTCGCCGACTGAGGCGCGCCTACAGCATCCCTCAGCTCGAACAGGCCCTTGTCGAGCGCGCGCTGCGCGTTGGTTCTCGCGTAGCCCCCCCTCCCCCCGGAAACGCACACGCACTTCATCGCGGTGGTCGCAGAAAACCCTACCCGTCCCCGTCCCCCTCTATTCCCCCGTCCCCCCGTCGCCCGTCCGCCACCCCCCCCGCACCGCCCTCCCTCCCCGCCTCCTTCCTTCCCGCCACCCCCCTCTCCCCCCCTGCCTCCGGCCTCGCCCCCCCTCTCCCCCCCGCTCCTCCCTATGCCTGGCCAGCAGACTCGACAGTTGTTAATTGCTGCTCGAGCGTCGCAGTCAGGAATAGTTCACACGTTGGTTCATCGCGCCCCCATCCAATCCAATCCGTTCTCCCCCCTCTCGCCCTTGCGCCCGCGCGCCTCCTTGTCGTTTCAGTCAATTCCAGATTTCTCGACCGCGCGCGTCAGGAAGAGGTGAGGAGGAGGAGGAGGAGGAGGAGGAGGAGGAGGAGGAGGAGGAGGAGGAGGAGGAGGAGGAGGAGGAGGAGGAGAATGGAAATAGGCGGACGCGTGGCTCTACTCACACAAGCCCCTGTGATACTTTGTGGGAAGAAGAGCGAGTGAGAGCGAGTAAGAGAGAAAGAGAGAGGATATCCCTCTATATACATTAATGGAGATCCCGGGCCCAGGGCCCCAGGCTGGCCCCTCCCTTGTACTTCGGCGCCCCCTCTCCCCGTGGACCTCCCCAGGCGACCCCTGGAGGTCCCGGAATGCCAGAGAATCTTCCAGGACCACCCGAGATGGCCTGCGATTAGCCTTCAGGACCCCCCAAAACGCCCCACGAGAGCTCCAAGACGGCCCCAGATGACACCGCGACAGCCCCAAGGCGCCCCAAAACACCCCAAGAGGCCCCCAAGAGGACCCCGAAGAGGGCCCCAAGAAGCAAAAGCAGTTTCATCCCCTTCGGGAAACGTACGCTTTTAGCATATTCGCCTCTTGGGTTTACACAAGGTCCACGACGGCCCAAGAGGCTCTCAAGACGGCCCAGGAGGCCCCCAAGATAGCCCCATGACGGGCCAAGAAGGGCTTAAGGCCGCCCAGGAGGCCCCCGAGATGGCCCAAGAGCCCCAGGACAAGCCCAAGAGGGGTCCCAGAGGGGGAAAACCAGGTTCAAATTTCGAGCCTTGGCCTCAAGAGGCCCCCAGGAGGCCCCAAGAGGCTCCCAAGAGGCCCCAAGAGGCCCCAAGGGGGCCCCCACGAGGCCTCCAAGAGGCCCCAGAAGGCCCCAAGGAAGCCTCCAGGAGATCCCCAAGAGGTCCCAAACGGGCCTCCGAGAGGCTTCCCAAGAAACCTTTGTATACATCTATGAGTGGCCTCTGGTCCTCAACCTGGGCCCGTTCCTGGGGCGCCGCCTGATCGGCGCAGGTGTTGTTTCTACATGTATGTGTATGTATGAGCGCATGTATGTATGCATGCATGCATGCATGCACGATTGTAGGTTAGTGCTCATGTATGTGTGCACATCAGAGAAAAACAGAAGTCACCTGGCCCGGCGAAGGGCCCGCCCCCTATGCAGCTGCGTGCAGCGCAGGGCGCGGCTCTCTCTCTCTCTCTCCAACTTCTGTGCGACGCGGGGTAGACTGGATAGAGGGTCGCTGCGGAGCAAGCGCGTGTAGGCACGCTGCGCTCCCTGCAGGGGGTGGCCGTCGCCCGAGCCCGCCTATGAGGCCGTAGGTGGACCTCCCTGTGGAGCGCGATCCGCGTGCAGCGGTGCCGAAGCGGGCGTGGGGACGCTATGCGAAATTGCCCATTGGTGCCATGGATGGAGATCCTTGTGGGGCACGATCCGAGTCAGGGGTGTGCCGAGATATGCGGATGGACGCCATGCGACGCGCCATGCGACGCCTCCTGCTGACCCGTCGGTGGAGCTCCCTATGGGGCGCGATCCGTGTGAGGGGTGTGCCGAAATGGGCGTGAAGACGCCATGCGAACCTTCTCTCTGGGGCCGTCGGTGGAGCTCACTTTGGGCCGCGATCCCTGGCAGGGCGGTGGAGAACAGCTGCCAGTATGTTCCCAGAGACCTCTGGGAACATCTGGGCGGAGGAGGAGAAGGAGAAGGAGGAGGAAGGATGAGGAGTAGCTGCAAACGGAGGGGAGGAGAAGGAGGAACAGGACATGGGCAGAAGGGAAATGCGGAGAAGGAGGAGGAAAAGCAGGAGGAAGATGAGGAGGACGAAGAGGAGTGAACATGGAGTAACGAGGAAGAGGGAATGAGGAGGGAGAGCAGGAGCGGGAGCAGGAGCACGAGGAGGAGGAGGACGATGATGATGATGCTGATGATGATGATGATGATGATGATGCTGATGCTGATGCTGATGCTGATGCGCTGATGCTGATTACGATGATGCTGATGATGATGACGATGATGATGATGGTGATGATGGTGATGGTGAGGATGATGATGAAGATGAGGATGATGGTGATGGTGATGGTGATAATGATGATGATGATGGTGGTGGTGGTGGTGATGATGATTATGATAATGATGATGAGGAGGAGGAGGAGGAGAAAGACGATGACGAGGGAGGGGGAGGGGGAGGGGGTCGAGGTGGATGGAGATTCTGCAACGCCCACATGCAACGGACTTCGCAATGCCGCCGATCAGACGAGCGAAAGCGAGAAATGTAAATCGTGGCGCAGCTGTGACTAGAACCGAAGCGCGCGCGAAACGCGCGCGTGTTTCCAGTATATATATACACACACGGAGAGATAGAAAGAGAAACACAAGAAGAGCGAGCGATGCGTACATGCATACACACATACTCGCACACACATGCATACATATAAACGTACATACACATAAACATGCATACGTGTATACATACATCTATCCATTAATACATACATACACATTCATACATACATGCATACATACCTACATACATTCATACTCACATACTCACATACACACATACATACATGCTTACTTACTTACACATACACACGCACATTCATACATACATATCAACATACAATTACACATCATGCATGCGTGTATACTCACACTTATACATATTCATATGCACACGTACATAAGCATACATACATACATTCATGCATGCATGCATGTATGCACTCATGCGCACACATATACATACACACACACACACTCATACATACATACCTACATGCATACACAAACATCCATACATAGCCAAACACATACACACACACGTACGCATGTACGTACATGCGAACATACGTACATACGGACGTACATGCATACATACATACATCCGTAAGTATACACATGCATACATACACGCATGCAAACACACATACATACACACCTACATACATACATGCGTTCATTATTTCATGCATGCATGGATGCCTGTATGCATACTTACATGCATACATCTACCCATACTCACTTACACACATACATAGATGCATACATGCATACATACAGACATACATGCGCACACACGCACGTCAGACATGCACACACACATGCATACATACATGTATATCATTATGCGTATACCGTATACATATAAACATAAGTTGATGGACACATACCGGATACCGTACATACACGTACACACATTTGGTATAGTAGGTTTGCAGAGAGGTGCGAGAACCGAACCAAGCCTAACTCACCCCCTCTTCCTTGGTCTCTGCGGGTTTTCCATGCTCTTCAGTTGTCAGCAAAAAGCAAGATTCCCAGACATCTGGCGCCTCGGAAAAATGGAAGCGACTGGTCCGTCGCCTCTTCGTGCCTCTGGAGGCCAGTTCAGGGACTCGGGGGCGACAATGTACGGCTTGGGATGAAGAGCCAGCGCTTGGGGAAGTGGGGCGAGCGGCCCAGGGGCCTGCGCGTCAAACAACACCGAAGCGCCGGATGCCTGGGCTCCCCGGACACCCTGGCGCCGTGATTCTGTCACAACTTGGACCCACGGAGGTCTGGGCCCCTTCCCCGGGACGGGTCTCTGATCCCGGGCTGTTTCTTCACGGTCTTGGGGCCCAGCAAGGGCCCCCAGCCTCCCGTCTTGATTTTTTCAGGCTTCGAAGGGGTCTGAGCTCAGATTCAGGCCATCCCAGATGGGGTCCGAGCAGATGGGGTCGGAGGATCGCGCAACATCGCCGATGCATCGCCGATGCGGCTCGATGTGGAGCTTGATTTTCTCCACGCTGGCGTCGCCAATGCACCGCCGACGTCGCCGATGCATTGTCGATGCTCTGGGGATGTATCGCTAATGCATGGGCGATGGCGCACGATCTTCCGACCCCATCTGCTCGGACCCCATTTAGGAGGCCCCTAGTTTGGAGCAGTGGGCTGATCGGCGAGCGAGAGCGGGAGCGGGAGCGGGACTTTTCAGAAGGCGGGGCTTCGCAGAATCCCTCTGGCCTTCCGAGAAGCCGTCTCTGTCGTCGGAGAAGGCTTGGGAAACTTCTCAGAAGGCCCGCGGCCCTCCGAGCCTCCTGAGGAGGCCCGCCCCCTCTGCCTCACCCCCTGGGGCTCGCCGCCGACCCACGGGGCGCAAGATCCGCACGCAGGAGGGGGCCGGCAGCCTTTGGGGCCACCTCCAGGGGCGGGGGTCGCTCAAGATCCGACGTCTTTCCACGCGGCGTCAGCGATCGGGGACCTCGTAGTCCCTACGCGCGCGCCAGTCAGAGCAGCGGGAGGATCGGCGAGCGAGAGCTGCGGGGCCTCCGCGAGGCCCCCGCGCGGCTGCGGCCGCGGGGCGAGCTGTGGTTGGTGTCCCAGGAGCACGTGCCGACTGGGCAGCTCTTCGAGCTCGCGAGGAGCCTCCCTCAGGGGCAGCGATCCGGGGGGATAGGCGCAGGGAAGGGGTTGGGACTTCCAGGGGCCGCGTTTTGAAAAAGACCAGACATCGCATGTCTGGGTTCGGGTTCGAGATTCGAGGTTTTCGGGCGGTTTGGTCGGTCCTCGGCGGCTTTCCAGCCTCGGGGTGCTCTCCAGCAGGTGCGCCTCCCTGTCGGTGTTCTGGGTGTGCCTGGATCTTCCCGAACGGCCGCCAGAGAGCTGAGTTATGACCCGAAACCCCAGGGGCGACGTTAAATGAGGGGGATGGGCTTAGGGGGGATGCATCGACCCCCAATCGCCCATTCATCGCCGATGGGGGCCCCCAAGAACGTGCGCTCTCGCTATCGGGGGCCGAGCCGAGCTATCGGTATCGCCGATTCCAGCTCGATGTTTCCCCTCCCCGTGCCAGTCCCCCCTACCGTTGCCCCTCACCTCCCTGCTGCCCAGACTTCTTCGCGTCGTGGACAAGATCTCGACCGTGAGATCTGGGCGTCGCAATTTGAAATCACCACGGGCGATTTCGCCTCCTTTCGGGCCCCGTGACCATCACAGATCGACCCGGGTCGAAAAATGTCACAGAAAGTTGGGGTCCAGGGCTCTGGTCGTGATCTTTTGCGATGTTATCTTGTTTCGCAACGTCGGATCCCAGGGGACGGGCGGAATGCTTTTGGCAGTTTTCGGATTTCGGGGCCCTCGCCCGTCCCCAGGACCGGTCCAAAAGGGCTGGGGACGAGAAGCTGGCCCGGGGGGAGGTCGGCCACGCGCAGAGGGGGGTAGGGGGAGGGGGGAAGGCTTCTTAGAAACACCCCTGCTTCTTAGAAGGCGCGGGCCTTGTCTGTAGATGAAGGGCCAGTGGCTTCTAAGAAGCAGGCTCCTTCTAAGAAGCCTTCCACCCTCTCCCTACCCCCCTGTGCGCGTCGCCAAGGAGGAGAAGCTGGCCCCCAGGAAGGGGTCCAGACCTCCAGGGGGCCACGTCCCTTCAGCCACCCACCTGAGGCCTCGGCCGGCGCGTAGCTGTTGCCTCGCGCGTTGCCTCTGCTTTAACTTTCTCGCGTTTCCTCTGCCTAATTAGTCTCTGCGTAGCCCGCTTTGACCTGACTCGCCGCCGGCGCGCTCGCCCGCGGCCGCTGACTAAAAAGTATCCCCACCAGTTCGTCTTTGCGCGGCCCGCTCTGACTCGACTCGCCGTTTGCGCATTCGCTTGCGGCTGCTGACTAAAAGGTATCCCCACCAGCCCATCCAGAAACGATGTCCAGGCGAGTTGAGGTGATCAGGGAAGTGCGGCAGCAAAGAGGAGGACGCCCGAACCCTGCAAGGGAGTGAGGAGGAGAAGGAGGAGGTGGATGGATGGATGGATGAGGGAGTTTGAAGAAGGAGGATGGAGGAGGCGGAGGCGGAGGCGGAGGCGGAGGCGGAGGCGGAGGCGGAGGAGGAGGAGGAGGAGGAGAAGGAGGAGGAGGAGGAGGAGGAGGAGGAGGAGAAGGAGGAGGAGGAGGAGGAGGAGGAGGAGGAGGAGGAGGAGGAGAAGAAGGAGTAGGAGCAGGAAGGAGGAACAGGAGGAGGAGGAGGGCAAGCACAAGGGCCAGAGGTCTCTTGGATGCCTCTCGGAGCCTCTTGGAGTATCTCTTGGGCGATTCTTGGTGGCCTCTTGGGGGTCTCTTGGCGATCCTGGGGGGCTCTTCGGGGTCTTGGGTGCCACGGGGGGGGCCTCTTGGGGCCGCTTAAGGTCTTCTAGGGGGCCTCCTGGGGGCCTCTGGGGGGCCTCGTGGGGCCATCTTGGGGCCATCTTGGGACCTTGGGGCCTCCTGGGCGCTTCTTGGGGCCATCTTGGAGGAGATCGGTCAACGAAGCAGGGTCCCTCAATGAAGGTCCCCCCTCCAGGAGGCCAAAATGGGGCCAACACCTTAATAAAATCAATGATTTTGGCTTCCTCGCCGAGGCCGTTTTGGACGCTCTAACTCCTTTCGGCGCCCCCCGTCCAGGTCCAGGGGAGGGGGAAGGGGGAGGGGTAAACCCCTCCCCGAAGGGGAAGAAAGAGGGAGGGGTGGAAGAGGAAACGCCCTAAACCACCGACGCCCAGAGGGCTGGTGGGATTCCAGCAGGTATTTTTCACGATGTCGGAAGTCGGGGTATCCCTCCCTTCCTCCTGGCCTGCGTTTATCCTGTTTTTAATGGCCGTTTGCATGCCTGCTGCTCTCTCTCTCTCTCTCTTTGTATTTGCATTTCTCTCTCTCTCTCTGTCTTGTCTGTCTTGTCTGTCTGTCTGTCTGTCTGTCTGTCTGTCTGTCTGTCTGTCTGTCTGTCTGTCTGTCTGTCTGTCTGTCTGTCTGTCTGTCTGTCTGTCTATCTGTCTGTCTGTCTGTCTGTCTGTCAGTCTGTCTGTCTGTCTGTCTGTCTGTCTGTCTGTCTGAATGTCTGTCTGTCTGTCTGTCAGTCTGTCTGTCTGTCTGTCTGTCTGTCTGTCTGTCTGTCTGTCTGTCTGGCTGGACATCTGTCTGTCTGTCTCTCTGTCTCTCTCTCTCTCTCTCCCTCTCTCTCTATATGTATATCGGGGTACAGGTTTGGGGGCCTTCTTCCGGCTGCCTCGGGTCGCCATGTGAGCTCCGGGCTCCCCGGGCACCCTCTCAAGCGGCCTGAGAGCCGCCCAGACGGCCTTAAGTGGCGTCACAGAGACACCAGAAGGCTTTCGAGATGTCCCGCGGGGCTTCCGGGCAGTCCCAGATAGCTTCAAGACGGCTCAAGAGGACTCGACGAGTGCTCCCCAGAGGGCCCCAAGAGGCAAAAACCCAGGATTGCCTTTGGTGTTTTTGTGAACAGGTTTTTGAAGTTCTCGCCTTCTCCAGCTCCCTCGACGACGTCCCCAGAGCCCCTCAGTACCGCCACAAGACGGCCCAAGAGGCTTTCAAGAGGGCCGGCGCCAAAGTCGGCCCAAGAGGACCTCATGACGACCCCAGGAGGGGCCCAAGAGCAGGAGCCCGAAATGTCAATGCGAGCCATCCGCCCCAAGATGCCCCCAGACGACCCAAGAGGACTCGACGAACGCTCTCCGGAGGGCACGCACAGGCAAAAACAATTCTTAGGTTTTTTCAATGTTTTGGGGGTTCTCGCCTTTTCGAGCTTCCGGCGCTCCGCGACGTCCCAAGAGGCCCCCAAGACGGCCCCAAGACGGCCCAAGAGGCCCCCAAGAAGGCTCCAAGACGGCCCAAGAGGGCCCAAAGACGGCCCTAGAGGCGCCAAAGATGGCCCAAGAGGACCTCAAGACGGCACCACGAGGGGCCCAAGAGCAGGAGCCCGAAACGACAGTTCGAAACTTCTGGCCCAAGATGCTTCCAGACGGCGCAAGAGGATTCGACGAGCGCTCCCCACACGGCCCCCAGAGGCAAAAACCACTGATTCCCCATAGGCTTTGAAATGTTTTGGAGGCTCTCGCCTTTTCGAGCTTCTGGCGCTGCATGACGTCCCAAGAGGCCCCCAAGACGGCCCCAAGACGGCCCTAAGAGGGCCGCAAATTCAATGGGAATTTAACACAAACCGTTCCCTCGTCAAGGACGGCGTTGCGTTTAATTTGTGTTACATGGTTGGGTCTCTTGGGCCACTCTTGGAGCTCCCTTGGCGCTCCTTCGGGCCCTCCCAGGCCGTTCTCTAGAGCTCTTTTGGGGGCCGTTCTGGGAGTTTCAGGAGAGCCCCAGGGGGGGCACAAATTTACTTGTAAACACAAACCGCAGCCTCGTCAGGGATCGCGTTGTCTCAAATGTGTGTTAAATTGTTGGGTCTATTGGGGCGCTCCCGGAGCTCCCTTGGGGCCCCTTCGAGCCTTCGAATCTCGTCTTGCAGAGCTCTAGGAGCTGGTGGGGGTCTCAGGAAAGCCCCAAGAGTGCCCAAACTTTTACACACACACACACACATTTGACACAACACCGTTTCTGACCAGGCAGCGGCTTTTGTTAAATTAGTGTCAATGTTTTGACCCTCTTGGAGCCCTCCCGAAACCCGCCCGAGGTCCTGGGGACGGCCTGAGAGGCCTCGAAGAAGCCATGAAATTCAGCACACGCACATATTTAACACTTGCTTGTGTCAACTTTGCGTTGTTTTGTTGTGTCTCTTGGGGCGCTCCTGGAGCTGCCTTGGGGCCCCTTCGAGCCATCCCAGGCCTTCTTGGACACACGTAGGACGGATCGCAGCATGCGCCCAGAGCTTCTCCAGGAGCATCCGAGCGATGTTTCCAGAAGCCTTTCCGAGATTATCTACATCGATGTCCTGGAAAATTCTCCGTGAACCTCCGATCGGATGCTCCGAATCACACCGCATGAGCAAGAGGAGGAGGATGAGAGATGTCGAGGACGACGAGTAGGACAACGACGACCCCCGACGGTCCCCAGAGATCTCGGTGTGTCTCCCGAGATCTGGCACGAGAGGCCACTGAAAGGCCAACCACGTCCGAACCCGCACAAACAACGTGCAGAGTCGACGACGACGAAGACGTCGGCCCCGGCTGCAGCGGTGGCGGTGGCAAGAGCCCGCACGCTGGACGAGCGCTGGCGGGAGCCCCAGGCCCTGGGCAACCGCGGTGACGAAAGCGACCCCGCGAGGCCAAGTAGGCCCAAAATAATATACATACCTCGATCTTCGATCCTGGATCTCTCATTCTCTTTCCTCGATCGTAGACGACTGCGACCACGTTGGCAGCGACAGCGACGGCCACGACCACAACCACGACGACCGCGGCGACGACGACAGTGACGACGACGAGGAGCCCCGGCGGCTTCCAGAGGTTTGACGACGACTACCACGACGACGATCGATCGACGACGGCCGACGGCCTCCACAGATCTTCAGAGTCCGGAGGCCTCCAGAGGCCCCAGAAAAACACAACGTGCCCCAGACCGTACAATCGTCCGATCACGTCCACAGACGACGACCACCGCCACCGCGACCACTTCGACGACCTCCGCGACGATCATCACGACGGCGGCGGCGG